GGTTTGGATTTGGGAATTTTTTTTTTTTTTATGAATGAATCATTATTGTTTTTTTTAAATAGATGAAGAAAAATGATTTATGTAGCCAACTCTATTTGATAAGACTTGAGACTTGATTTGGGTTTGGTAGATTCATCAAAAACTGAAAAAAAAAATAAAAAAATAAAAAACTTTAAAAATGAAAAAAACTGATAATATTCTCAGTTTTAAAACTGGAAAAAACTAATAATATTCTCGATTTTATTAGATAGTTGATCAAACCAATAAGTAGAAGGGCAAAAACATTTAATCTCATACTTTTTTTTTCATCAATTAGTGAAACAATTATCTGAAACATTACTATGCAAAATTGATAATGTTTTTAGTTTTAAAAATTAGGAAAAATTGATAATATTCTTAGTTTTATTAAATAAGACTTACTGGTTCAAAAATCTTAAATAGGACCTGAACTATCATAACATTTGTAAATAGGACTTATATGTAATTAATTCATAAAATTATTTTGAATTGTGTAAAAGGTATATAAAAGTATTTTAAAACATGTAAAAAACTATATTGAAATTATAAATATTTTATCATTTTTTATTTCTTATTAGCAACTCTTAAGATTGTCATTAACATGACTCTTTTAAATTTAATCAATTACTAAGATAAAATTTTTCAAACCAAAATTTTGATCAGTATGTAGGCATAACTCTCACAATCCAAACAATTTGAATACTATTAATATATAAGGATAAATTACAAACACACCCTCTGAAATTTGCTTAAAATATGAATTGTCTCCTATAATTTTTTTAAATTACACCCCCGCCCCCTAAAGTTTCTAATTTCATAATAAATAGACCATTTTATTAATATATCATCAAATTGATTAACAGTTTTTAATGATGTTAAACATATGTTTCAATTAATAATTTAAATAATTTTATTATTCTATAAGAGAGCAGTTAGAAAAAAAAAAAGTCAGTTAATTCTATTAAATAAAAAATGGGTAAATTATACTGACACCCCCTAAGATTTGGTCCAATTACATCCCACCCGCTGACGGTCTAAGAATTACATTCCCATCACTGTGGTTAATAGTCTCATTTCACAAATCCCCCTACTTATATAAAAAGCAACAACTCTTAATAAGAAAATAGAGGAAATTACATTTATAAAAAAATAAAAATAAAAAAGTAAAGCAAAGGAAAAAAAAAAAACAAAACAAAGGAAGTAAAATAAAGTAAGAAAAGAGATAGTACATGTCACGCCCCGAAATAATTCAACATGAACTACCCTCATTAATTAACATTTACCCAATAATGACAATAATCTTTCCATCTTTACATAATTAATAATAAGTCTTTATAGGGGTTTCACATGCGGATATACATTCAACAATAGAAGAACATATGAATCTATAGCATGGGAAGCACATAGTCTCAAAACAATAAAATGCCGTAAGGGCTTACATCTTCCAAGGCAATAGGCCGGTTACACAAAACGGTCTCTCGAACCCATACACATTAACCCTTGGCTTACAAAAAGAATTACAACAAAAAGGTAAAAGAGCTATTCACTCTTCTCAAAAATATCTACGCCCTCAATTCGGCAGAATCACATCTTTACCTGCACCAAATCCCATAGTGGTGAGCATAAAACCCAGTAGAGAATTTCCTAACAAAGTATATACATTTATGTAAACTCTTCAATAAACATGCAAATGTCAATGCCATGCCATGCGCCTTGTTAAATAAAAATCCATTGCATGCTCTTTTAAAGGTTACCATCTTTCAATTAAATTTGTAATCTCAACTTATTTCGAAACTTCCAATTTTAATCAATAGGGGCGGTAAATACGACACTGGTAATCCCTAGGTTGGTGTCTGCAAGTAGACTCTACAAGTATTACTAAACTGTCATTTTTATCAGTATTAATCGGAAGGCTCGACACTTATCCGCGCGGTTTTCTGGTCTTTCACCATGGACACTCAGGCCAACTTATCAAGATTCACTACACCCCCTATCCGAACTTACCACGTATTTACCCCATGCCACAATTCCATAGTTCTCATCAACATCATTTTCTTTCATGAAATAAATATATTTGATTGAAATTTTCAATGCAAAATAATAATTAAATGAATATGCAATGCCATGATCTTTCCATATCTCATAACACGTTTCCATCACAAACATCTCTACAACAATATCAATTTACAACGTTATTCATTTCTTCTTCTCGATATTATTTCACAAGTGACCATACCATCACCTTAAAGCAATAATAATCTCTCATCATGCCCAATTCACAACAAGTTAGCCCCCCTTCAAGGCTACAAGTAATGCCTTTCATAAATCAACTCCAATGTTCACAATTTTCAATATTCAAGGTACACAACCATTTGGTTTTTCACAACAATGCACTTTCTAATGTTAACAACAATGTTAAATTAATATCTCATTTCTCATATATCATGTAAATTGTCATTTTGCTAAACATATGATGAAAGTTCACTCTTCTAAATACAAAAGAACAAAATGCCCCTAAACATGTCTACACCTTTCAAAAATCCCCAAAAAATTCTAGGGTTTTATGTCAAAAACCCAAAACAAACATCTCTCCCCTCTTTTGAAAGGGTTTACTTTCAAGATAACACAACTCCTATTATGTGAGTTAAAATATCCTTAAGAAGATAGTTTAGGGAGAGAAAGATCAAATCCACTTTTAAAAACCCTAGCATTTATGAGAAAAGACTAGACTTTCAACATAAATAAAAGAACCTTAAAACCAACCAAATTTAACATAAATGTATATATAATTCAAGGAAATTTCCCTACCTCAATGTTTTGATGAAGAGAGAGGATGAAACCCTAGCTTTGATGGAAGACTCCTCAACTTTCTACAACACCAAGAGGAGTTCAAGCTTGATCTTCAAGATTTAGAGAGAAGATGATGATCTAAACCCAATGGATAGCAAGAATCAAAAGCTTTTGATGCCTTGGTTAGGGTTTTTAGAGAGAAGGAGGAGAGAAAATGTTTTTAGAGAGAGAGGGAGATATAAAAGAATGAGATACAAACAGCCCAAAAGAGTAAAAAAAAAACAGGGATTTCAGACTGCTAGCCGTCCCGCACGTGCGGAGCCTCACTTCCGCACGTGCAGCCCTCCACTCGTACACCAAGTTCCACACCTGCATATAATGCAGTGTGCTGCCCCAGCTTCTCTTGAAATCCGCACGTGCGGCTTCGCCTCCCACACGTGCGACCCTGGTTTCCTCAGCCCAGAATTTTCCTACCCTATTCTAGGCACCTCGGGTTTGGCCACACACCCTCCGAAACAAAATGAAACCCAACACCAAAACAAAGAAGGATAGGAATTTAAGGTAAGTTTGTTTCGACTCACCACAAACGCAAAAAGGTCAACAAGACTCCAAGTGAAACTTGACATGCTAATGAAGCAAATCGAAGTTAAACAAAAGGATTAGAACGGGTAACACTCGGGTCATCACAGTACATGAGTTCAATGTCTTCATTTTCATCTAAATAATTACAATGACAGGAGGTTAGTGTAATTTCCCAAACGTCAGGGGGCGATATGTATTAAACCCAAATCTCAGGGGGTGTAAGTGTAGTTTACCCATAAAAAATTCTAACAATGGAGTATTTATAATTTTTCAAACCATAGAGGGCAATCTGTATTTTAAACAAATCTCAAGGGATATATTTATAATTTATCCTAATATATAATTATATATAATACTAGCTAATTATTTTTCCGTAGTTGAATTAAATTATATTGCATTAAATTATATTGCAGTGACTTGGGCTTTGACAAGTTAGTTAAGACAAAGGGATTAGTTTGGATCGAATTTAGGCAAATCTCTGTATGTTTTAAAATGAAATTGAATAACCAGACAACCCGATTGAATTTATTCAAGTTTCAGCCTGAAAAACCGTTTGTCCCATCATTAGATAAGTCATTGGATCAACAATAATCTAAGAAGGCGGCATTTTATGTAATGAGTATATCATGTAAATAAGACAAAGTAGCGTATTATTTCATTTATTAATTAACATATGATAAAAATAAGATTTAATAAGTCATTTTGTACCTGACCCGAAATATTGAATGTTCGGCCATATCAAATTTTGACCTCACTTTGTATCACATATGAATTAGTAAGTGGATCCAAGAAGCCGACAATGTTGAATTTGTTTTAGATTTAACCTATCCAAAAAAACAAGTCAACTTCGGCCACCATCTTAGCCAAATAGTGGTTAAAAATATATAAATAGTGAGTTCTAAAAATACCCCCAAACACACCCACAAAATATGATACCACAAAGAACTAGCTTTCCCTTTCCATGGCCGCACTGCACCTACTGTTTTGAGGCCATCCCACATGACTTTTTTTTCAGTGATTAAGCTTTGCCGAAAAAACAAAAATAAATAAATAAATAAAATGTTACGTGTCACTGCCCGTCGACGAATCCTCCACTGGGCGTCGAGCCTCTGGCGCTGCTTTCGCTCTTTCTAGAACCAAATCCTAGCTTGCACACTAGGGAAGTCACTTATAGGCAGCTACCACGCACCGCCACCATGTCGTCTCTGTCTCTGGTGGCTTCATAGAGAGGGTTTGAGACCCCCGACACACCTTGTGGGTACTGTGAACACAGCAGGGACTCTTCGGACTTGGTTGCTTTGAAGATCAGTCTCTTGGGTTATTCCCAAATTGGGAAAACTAGTTTTCTGGCAAGTGCATTTGTTTGTTTTTTTTTTTTTTTTTCCTTCTTGGAAATGTTTTTTTTATGCTTTCGTGGCAACCAAACATAGCATATTAAAATGCTATTCTTGTTCTAATTTTTCTTTTTCTTTTTTTTTTCTTGTTTTGTTATTCATTGTAGACAAAGTATGTCAGGGGAGAGAGGCAAGAAGAAGGATTTGAGATATCAAATACAAGACTAAATCAAATGGATAAAACACTCTCTGTTGGAGGGGCATGTATCGCTTATAGAATCTAGGAGGTTGCAGGTATGCATGGTTCCTTTGCATAATAATTTATTGAATAACAAGTCTACAGATACAGAACTAATCGTAAAAAATACGAAGGGAATGATCTGAATAAAATCGTATCTCTATTGACGAGCCTTACATCTGATGTTGATTGATTCTATCTCATCGCTAAACTTTTTATTGATTGAAATGGCAATGTATGTATATATATGTACTGATCAACTATAATTTTGAATGGTGTACAAGGAGATGAAACATCCCAAAATCACATTCCAAGTGCTTGTAAAGACTCGGTAGCAATGTTATTCATATTTGATCTAACAAGTCGGTGTACTTTAAACAGGTAACGTTTCAAAATGCCTAAGGTTTTCATACATTATGAATCATGATTATAAAATTGTAGTTGTTATTTAGGTTTGAATAATAAAGTAAACTCATGAGATTACTATTTAACTCTCTCTGGGTTTGCAGTATCGTCAGATGGTATCAAGAATTAAGGAAATGGAATCAGGTACCCATGCTCTGCTTCACCACCTCATGGAATCTTTTTAGGGAAAATTTCAATTTAGTATACATTATAATAAAATAATTATCAATAAGTGATAAGTTTTACAAATATTAATAATTAAAGTTATAATTTTTTTTTTAACAAATCTACAATAACTGTCTAAAAGTACTACTGAGTGGTAATTTCCCTATCTTTTTACCCAAATCTCTGTCTTCTAGTATTAATATATTCCCAAAAGTAATGATCTACAAACCCATATTTATGAAGAATGATGTTGCTTCTTATGATCTTTTAATTTTTTATCAAAACACTCATCATTGCCCTCATATTTAAAAAAAAAAATGTCATTGACAATCATTTTAGATATATTTTTTGTATAAACTTTACGTTCAAAAATCATTTTTCATTCATAACTTCTTTGTTCTTTTGTCTCAATTATATACCTTGATGGATGATGTAGTGGGAATTTCAAGACGATCGTTGGGTTGAATTGAATGTGCATTAATTGAGATAGTATTACATGATGTAGTAAGAATCTGAAGACATAAATTTTGAGACATAATTGTATAATTAAAACAAAATGCATCAGATCAGAAGGACACAGAAATTTAAAAAATTGAGGACCCTTGACCTTGTCTCTAATTCATATTAACTAAAGTTTTTGTAATTGTTGTAGACAGCAATTCCAGTACTCGTACCTCATGTTTGTTTGGGTGGACATGAGCTTGGAATTGAACTAATAGTCCAATAAAATTATTAATCCGATGTTTGGTTAAACAATTGAAGTACGGACTAATTATTTTAAACTTGACTATTAGTTAAGATAGGATATAAAATCCAAAAGATTTGTAATCCTAGGACTATTAGTCATGGGAATGCTAATCCAATCCGCCCAAACAAACATGGCCGTAGGGACTAAATTCGATGATTTTGTACAATTACCGATAGATGTTCAATGGACAATTGCAAGTCAGGTAATATATTTGATCTCTTCTAATCATGCAACAATATGCATATAACCGATTCAGACACAATATATACGACTAAATTACCAATCTCCAAAATCTTATCTATTTACGAATATTGTGTCAAAATGTAAACCAAGCTGGTGAGAATCATGGATCAATTAACTGAGAAACTTGCTGTAATTAATTTTCACATGATAGAAGAACAAACAGAATTAAAAGTAGAATGATTGGAAAAAGAAAAAAAGGGTGAGAGAACAGGCACATTAGGGCATGCATGATTTACTGGGCCATATCCATTTAATGATTTCTAGCTGGAAAAAATACGATTCAAATTTGATTATTTTTCTTTTGAGTATAGTCATAGAAAGGTCTTGAAGGGACACAGACATCTTAGTCAATTCTTCAGTAAGAAATATCTTTTTCACTCTTGGAACACACTAGTGGCAAACATGGCCTGTTCAATATTGTTCTAAAAAAAGAATTAGATTCGTATTTTCAAAAACAAAAATAATGAAAAGTTTCAAAAACAATTTTCATTTTCTTTTTTGTGTAGAAACAACTTTTAAAAATTCATGAAACAATTTATAAGTGTTCCCTAAAACAGATATGTTTCCAAAAAATAATTTTCAAAAAAAAACAAAATTTTCTAAATCAACTCCCAAAAAAATGAGAGCAATACCAAATGTTTCCAATAATCTATTTTGAGAACAGCAGTTCGTTGTTCCCACCTAAACCCTAAATCCAATATCAGAATCTATTTAACATGTGTATTGTTGTTAACAGGCAAGAGCATATGCAAGGGCCCTCAATGCAACACTTATCTTTTCAAGTGCAACCTACAACATAAATGTGAACAAGATCTTCAAGTTCATCACGGCAAAGCTGTCCAACCTACCATGGGCTCCTGAGCGAAACCTCACAATCGGAGAACCCATCATCAATTTCTAGATGTTGCTTGGGATTAAACATATTTGGTTTGTAAATAGACTAGGAAATTCAGGATCCTGAGTAAGAAGATTGAAATCAACTGGATTCGCATTAATTGTCAGAGTTGTTTCATTTGAATATCATGAAGTGGATGATAAAAGGCTCAGGAGCCCACATCTCCATGTAAGAATAACTCTGTTGCATTCAACCTATTACTGAGCTCAATATATTATAAAAATCAAGCTACTTGATTTCTACTCATTATCAGCTCAATCAAAACTTGTTTGAAATCAGCTTGAAAAGTAAACATGCCAAGCTTGAACATATTTTGGAAGCTTGTTAAGTTTTTAAATCAAGCTTGAATAACCTACTACTTAGCTCAACTCAGCTCATTTACAAGTCTATATGTGTTTCAGTTCAGGACATGATGCATCTTCTGAAAATAAGTGGGATTGTAAAAGACACACTGACTTGTTGGGGGAGAAAATGTAGACATTTAAAATTATGAGGGCACAAGGGTCCAACCTAAAAGCAGATATGTGGCATTTGGAGACGAGCATCACTCAAGCTTCACTTCTCTTGTTGGTGGGTCCAACTGCAAATAGTAGAATGGTTCTGTTGGTTCTTTGCTGTACACAAAACATTCAATCGATTAATCAGCAGCAACAATTACTTCAGAATGTAATGGAACAATTGAAATTAGAATTAAGCAATTAGTCATCTCAAAGAGTATAAAAGAATTATTGTGCAATGGAAATTTTGGTCAATGAAGCAACTTCTAACAAATTATAATCTACATAACTGGTATTCTATGTGATTAACTGCCAACAAAAAACTCAGTGACCAATTAGAAAATTCTGAATATGTAAGTAAGACATAATGTTAGATGCTTCATGAGTATATCAAAAGAATGCACTATAGTATAAATGAATGAAAAATTATTAAAAAAAAAAAGATAAAAAAAAAATCCATTTTTTTTGGGATAAGTCACCCGAATGAAAGAAAACATACCCAGGTTTTGAGCGCATGCATTGCCAGAAGAGCTTGAAAGGACCAGGAATTGTCTTAAATGGGTTACCTTCGAAGCACGCCTACACAACATGACTGAAATGAACTCAAAATGTACTAAAATTGCGCATAAACTTAATAGTGAACCTTCAAATACAAGGCCATCATAATACATGCCGACAAAGGTCAAATAGTCGTAATCTCTTTCCATTTAAACATAGTGTTTTGTTTGGGATGTCTACCATTATTGGTTATTTTCATCTCCTTGCAAAGCGGTCATATTGAATTTTCTATAAATGAACTTACTTCTACTTTATTCCATGGTTGCCAGAAAGGGAAGCAAAAATGGAAAACAACAATGAAGGCCGAAATGTGAATCAAAATTATAAAATAGGGGCTTGATAGGAAAACTTCAAGAAAACTTTGAAAAATACAATATGAAACATTAGAAGACTTCCACGATAAATAGACATGAGACCTCAACATAAAAAGATGAGTTTGATCCTCCACTTCTATGCATTGGGGTTCCTTGTATGTGTATGTGTTTAGGTAACGGCTAATATAAATGCCAAAACCAGCACAACATATTCAATCAAGAAAGTCGATTAACTCTAGCATAATATTGTACACCATCCAGCTATAATAATACTAATTTTAACTATGGTAGCATGCAAGTCCAACAGTATGAAGCTAAGACATACTACAAACGGTTACACAAGAATCTTTGTGAAATTGAAAAGGTTATGAACTTTTAAAGTCACTTTCAAGGTAGGCTGTACATGTGGATTGTTCCCCTAAATTGAAGCTCAAAGTGCAAGGAGGTGAAGGAGTTAGAGGGCCATCTCCCTTTGTAAAGTGGCTAGGGAGGTCTGGAATTGCTCTGGGTTAGTTTCATGCAGACCGGGTGTTTTCCAGGTTGGTGGGTGGAGGCTGAGTTATTTCAAAGTTGGTGGGAAGTAGAGTAAGTAGAAGGAGAATCGAACTAAGGAATGAAGCCCTTTATGTGGAGCATCTGAGTAAAGAGACTTTCATGCTTCTGAGGAGTTGAGTCAATTGACAAGAAGGCGAAGGACAAATTTAAGAGTTTGATATGTAGTTGAGCCCCACAAAGAGTTTAGTCCTTCACTTGATGATTTTAAGAATTTTCTGACGATGTACATTAAAAATAGCTAAAAGATACGGTCAATAAATTCTAAAGATAAAAGTAAAGTAAACTAAAAATCCAACCAAATGAGGGATGGTCATGGTCCTAATGAAACAACTACAGAAGCACTATAATGCCTCTTGCTCCCGAGGAGTATGCCTAGGAAGACCCATACTTAATCATATAAGCCTTGATGCATGTTTTGTGTGAACCTCTAAAAATATTTCTAAAACTGTAACCTTTACACTATATAGCTTTAGAAAACACAACCCCACCAGAAAAGGGTCCCTCAACAACTAAGATTGTTTTTGAAAGACACCTTCATTCAGTCCCCTTTTGCCACACTTACAGGCATCACCCTCAAAGAAATTTCTAAAAGATATATCATTCGCTCTCAGACCCCAAAACCCTAGTGCACTAATTCTTTGGAGAAACACCTATTCATGATGACAGGCCACAAAAAACTTCTCCATAGCACTACTTTTTCAATCCAGTGGATTATCAAATGAATGAGAAATCAATCTTTTTCATAAGTACAACATCCCTAATTTCGTAGTTTTCTACTACTAATTCAAAGCAGTGACCCTTTTCTGAAGGTTTAGCGACATCACAGTTGATTGGAAAAATCATACCCTAATTCCTTAATACTGCATTCTTCTGGTTACAAAGTTCGAGTAAATTAGAAACATTATAAAGCGGCATAATTCAGTAAGTTTTGAGTAGTAATCACATTTTGGGTCTTCATAAATCTGCATAATTTTGAAGGGGAAGTAATCTAGGCTCATAAGCTTAAGCAGATCCTTCAGCTTTCTTGCCTAGTAGTAGTTACTTTGTTCCCTTATGGAACTTCAAGCCTTCGGTAATTAGCATTTCCTTTTATACTCATTCGATGCATCTTAGTATTAATGGTTCATCCATCATATATAACAACAACAACAACAAAAATAAATAAATAAAATAAAAAAGAGCACGTTGGAATAAAGGATATCATCAGACAAAATTTCCCACAACTCACAACATAACATCATCAGGTAATAAATCATTTTCTTCTGGTTACAAAGTTCGAGTAAATTAGAAACATTATAAAGCGGCATAATTCAGTAAGTTTTGAGTAGTAATCACATTTTGGGTCTTCATAAATCTGCATAATTTTGAAGGGGAAGTAATCTAGGCTCATAAGCTTAAGCAGATCCTTCAGCTTTCTTGCCTAGTAGTAGTTACTTTGTTCCCTTATGGAACTTCAAGCCTTCGGTAATTAGCATTTCCTTTTATACTCATTCGATGCATCTTAGTATTAATGGTTCATCCATCATATATAACAACAACAACAACAAAAATAAATAAATAAAATAAAAAAGAGCACGTTGGAATAAGGATATCATCAGACAAAATTTCCCACAACTCACAACATAACATCATCAGGTAATAAATCATTTGAGATTCATCAATCTCCCATCATCAGAGAGTATTTGCAAAAATTACTTGATTTTGTATAATCTACATGCACAGGACTGATTTTTGAAAAATAGGGAAAAACTTGTTTTTCTTTTCTTCTTTTTTTTTGGTCAGAATGAGTTTACTTGTCACTTAAATCAATTCAATTGTGTCTAACTCTCTTAATTTCTAGACTTGCTAAAAATAAAAAGCTCAAATTACAACCAAACACAAAATTTTGACTCAGTACACATTGCAAAGCACAAAACAAATGTGAGAGCATTAAAACCCAGAACTAGTTTTTCAAATGCCCCAATTCAAACATTGAACACCAACCCACATTGCCCATACCTGTTCTCTAATCAAATAGTGTATATGAAACATATATGGAAAAAATGAGAAATTTTTGTATGCCAATAAGCACAACGTTGCACTACCTTCCACTAATTTATATACCTAACATAAATATAATGGATTCAACTGTCAAATTCAATCATAATAATAAAAAGTATGTGACATATATCTTATCTGCATACAAAAATTACTCAAAACAAGGGTTTGAGGCTTTGATGGGGAAGGGCAAGCTTACTTGGATGACATCTTCAGCTCGATCATTGCATCTGTGGGCCTTTGGCTGCCGATGATCTCCCTCGGGAGTGCCCCATGGGCTCTCTCTTCTAGGTACGGGTCTCGTACTACTACCACTGCTCATCTTCTCTCTCTCTTCTCAATCTTCGCTTCGTCTTTCTTTCTCTAAATTTGTGTTGTGTACCTGGGTTGGGAACAGAAATGGGCGAGCTACAAAAGGGTCCTAATCTCAGCCCTTGGTTGGAACTAGGATATAAGAAAAATTGATAAAATTGAGCTGATCAATTGCAATAGATCGAAATTTTAATTTTTGGTCTGTTCTTATAATATACAATTCGTTTTGATTTTGAAATTTTTTATTTTGATTTTGAAATTTTTTTATATCGATATAAATTGAACTGATCAAATATTATATTTAAATATTTTTATATTATAATTTTTTAACATTATATGAGAAGTAATTAATATAATATACTTTTGTGATAAAAAAATTAGGAAAAAAAATATTAAAGTAATTTTCATATTTTTTATTTTTTATTTTTAATGTAAAATTCTATAATCTACTATAAAAACATTTTAAAATTTTATGTAAATTTCTACAAAAACAATAAAACCAAATAGTAGTATACGGTCTGTATCAGTTTCTCAATCATAAAAATCAAAATGATCAATTTGATTCTAAATATACTCTTAATACCAATCGAACCGAACCGTTTACACCTCTTTAGAACTTGGAACCGCCATCTATTGATCATCGGCTATACTTTCGATGGGTTAGGATCCAATTATTTGGAGGGTCCAAGTGAAATTCAAGAAAATATATATATATCTTTATGAAAAAAATTATAATTTTTATTATTAATATTTATAAAATTTCTCATTAATTTATAATTATTTTTTAATATTTTTCCTTATTTGAATCCACTCTATTTATTTATTTATTCTTTTTAAGAATTTGTTAGCATAAACTCTCTGAGTATATGTTAAAAAAATTTAAAAAAACGATTGGAATTCAAGTGAATTATCAAATATTTTATTAAATACATACACGAATTTCACACTCATGTAAGTATTTAGTAAAATATTTGATAATTTATTTAGAGTTCTTACTGTTTTTTAATTTAAAAAGATGGTACATTATGTATTAAAATAAGTGAAGTAAAAAAAATTATAATTTGTTTAAACCATTTTACAATGTATTTTAAAGATACATTTTTTTTAAAAAAAATTAATAATAAAAAATCAAAGTGGACTAGAAGAACCATATGTTTGGTTTTTTTTTTTTTTTCTTTTTTGCCCAACTTGCCCATATAACTATACTTTTTTTTTTTTTCTTTTTCTTTTTTTAACATCCTATATAACCATACTTGATAAAAGGGAAATTTTACTATACACAACTTTTAAAAAGGGTGTATTATATGCACATCTAGTTACGTTATTTTTTTTTAATTATGACAATTTTTTTTTTCAAGTTATATGACTTACGAGATATTTAGTTATGTCTCATGTGATATTGCGTTATATTTTATTTTAATTATGACTCAAAAAGTATGAAATTATATCATTTTTTCTTTAGTTATAAGGTGTGTATGGTACATAATCTTTTCAATAAAATATACTTATAATTTCTTTGGCCTTCAAATTTAGAGTTACCAATAAAATTACCGAATAAACTACACACCATATAAGTCATATTTCATGTATGTAATGTGTACCAAGGTTTTAAAAACCGGAACGGTGAGTGAACCGGAAAAAGATTCTAATGGGTGGATCACCGGTTCAACCGTTGGATTGAACCGGATTGAACTGTGACGTCATAATTATGTCATAAATAATTTTCTAAAAAATATAAATTAATAATGTAAATATTAAATTTCAATTTGTTTTAAAAAAATTCTTAAATATTTTTAGTGATGTTTTTCTATATTTAAAAAAACATCCTAAATATAAGTCATAACACTTCACATACTAACAACAAATAAAATTAAAGATGAAAATTTAGCCGTTAAAAACAACAATCCTAGTAATAAAAATTACGAAAGCATCCAACTAAAGCAATCCATAAAACATAAGTTACAAAAAAGACAAAACTAAGTCCAAATTGACATAAAATAAACTTGCAAGTCACAAAGCACAAAGTTTACAAACATAATACATAAATCTCAAGCAACAAATGTAAAAAGATGTTTACAACATGACATCATTCTTAAAAATAAAAAAATATGAAAAAAAAAAATCAACATAACACAACATCACAAACAATCTTTGATATTTGCCTAAATCTCCTAGGGACAATAATTTAGCCAATCATCATCATCATTCTCATTCGCATTAGCACTAGAGCCAGGTTGTTTGATCTATTATCAATGTTCAAATATTACGGTTCAGATTCAGAGATTCAATTAAAAAAAATATCAGATTCAATACAATAATTAATTATATCATGTGACAAAAGGAAAACAGAGGCTTCTTCAAGTAGAGGGATTTTTTATTTTATTTTTTTGTGGTAATTTTCTGTGAGATAGTAAAAGGAAAACAGAGGCTTCTTCTTGAAAACTTACAAAGAATAACAAAGTCAATACAACTAGCATTATACTGATAGATGTTTATTTGTTTGTTAATCACAAATATCTACATATACACTAAGAAAACGTATATGTATATGTATATTTAGTGGATGGGGCTTCTTCAAATAAAAGGAAAACAGAGGCTTCTTCAAGTAGAGGATTTTTTTTTTTTTTTTTTGGTGGTAATTTTCTCTGAGATAGTAAAAGGAAAACAGAGGCTTCTTCTTGAAAACTTACAAAGAATAACAAAGTCAATACAACTAACATTATACTGATAGATGTTTATTTGTTTGTTAATCACAAATATCTACATATATACTAAGAAAACGTATATGTATATGTATATTTAGTGGATGGCGTGTGCAATTCAGATAAGTAAGCATACAAATAAATAATAATAAAACCAGGCAGTTAACCATCAAACCAGACACCAAACTACGGCACCACCACCGACCATCTCACCACTTTCTACAGCGGCCGCCAAAGTAGACCCAATTTTTTTGAAAAACCAAGAAGGAATCAAAGATTCATCAACCCCCTCAAACCAAATCAAAGATCACTAAGTAGCCCTACAAATTACACAAAAGTAGTACCTGGAGGCTGGAGATTGAAATTCTTTGGCAGCAGTGGTGGTGAATCTGTGTGTAAAGTTGAGAACTTGATTCGTTAATGGTGTGATGATGATGATGATGATTGACGAAAAAAACAGAAAGAGACAGATCGGTTGCTTGAGAGAGGGAGAGAGACTTGCAAAGAAGCCCTAGATGGCTGCTGAAAAATCAAAAACGAAAAGGAAAAGTAGATCTGAAAAAAATAAATAAATAAATAAATAATATATTTATATATGTCATAGGCAAACCGGTCCGGTTCAATTAACCATGAACGGGTTAACCGGTTCACCGGTTAAATCACCGGTTTCACCAGTTTTCAATAAATACCCCGGTTTTTACACTTGGCCGGTTTAAGAGGGTCAACCGGACCGGAACCTGGTCCGGTCACCGGTTCAACCGGTTGAACCGGCCGGTCCGGTCCGGGTTTCAAAACCTTGGTGACGGAGTCAGGAAATTAAATCAGAAATAACACTTGTTGATTATAATTTTAATTTTTTTTATAACCAATAGCAAGAAGATAATAATAATTTTTAAATTAATAATAAGTACAAAAACTTAAATAAATTATTACAAAAGTATTTCACATAAAATTTTA